CTGTGGGATTTATTACCACGTTTATTTCAGCACTGGAGTCAAGAAACAGAGGGGCCTAATAAAATCAAAGAAAAACAGTTATTCTCTTTTTTTTTTTCCTTTTCTTTTTTCGTATTTGGTTGGACTAATACCCTTTTAGTATTCATCTGGACACTATGGCTAGATATTTCTCTCATTCATCTGATAAGGTAAGTTTCAGCTGGGACTAGGGTAGCTCAAGTTAATTATTTTTCCAATACCTAAGCTGGCACCTTACCCTACTGCAGATGCCTGTTTGAATTACTTTCTTAGAGAGGAAAAAGTGACCCCTGGGGATGCAAACATAACAGACAGAGCTGCAGGGAGCATGCAAAGTAATTCTGAGGGGTGATGCCCCCCTACACACACCTTAATGGAGCACTCATGCAGAGAACTGATAATGACAACGTAGCTCTCAACAACACCAATTTCATTAGAAAAAAATGAGCACTAATGTGCTTATCCCTTATTAGCAGACTGCAATATCACATGATGGGGAAGCTGCTTTTGTTAAAAGCTGAGAACAAAGAACTCCCCACAGGCTTTTCAGCACGTCTTCCCCTGTGAGGAAGATGTGATTGTTGCTACTTGCTTCTTGTAGATCAAAACAACCATAGCACTGACAGTGTTTTGCAAGAAGACAAAACTGTGTAACTGCCAGGATGCCAGTCCCTTCACCATCCTTCTGCCACCTCTCACAATGGTCCCTTCAACACCCAAACTAGTGTTTCCCTGCATACAGGGTTAGAGGGTATGGGTTTGTGTTGCACCTATTCCCATCTTTGACCAGCTGCCACAAAAGAGCTAGTCCTGTTTCATCATACCTTGTCTGTACCTGTAAAAGCTTGATACAGTCTTCGTATCAGCCATGGATGCTGTACATTTGCTGCAACTGACTGAAAGTAAGTTCAGTGAAAATATGTAGGTTATGAACCTTGATAGAGTCTCCTGCTCTCTGGCCTGTAGCATACCCCTTTGTGTTGATGTATATCTTAAAGAGGTATATCGGTTGCAAACTCCTGTGGTAGGTGTGTGATAGTGTATAGGCCTGCACCCCACTTGTAAAAGCATTTCTGGCTGTTTATAAACAAAAAGACTGCTTACCTGCTTTAAATTACTTCTGAGAACCCACGCTCACAGAGTAGAACCCAGTTTTTCAGCTAACACAACTTCACTGAAGATACTACACATTTTGCTCTGAATTCAGTGCAATAAAACCACACACATTGTCCTTTATGGTTTTGTTTGTTTGGTTGTTTTGGTTTTTTTTTCAGTGAAATACCCATGTGGGAAAATACCAGTGCTGGCAAACAAAAATGCGACTGCACGAGGAAGAATAGTAGGTGGTTCAGTCTGTCCTCCGGGTGAATGTCCATGGCAAGTGAGTCTCCAGAAATTTGTCATTGCCACTTTTTTTTTTCCTTATGAAACTACTATCTTATGTTCATTGTTTTAGATATTTTATGTTAAAAATCCACAAGTCCCAGGTGTGGATAACTAAATTCCTTCTTCATTCATAGCCAGCAGATACACCTGTTTCAATCATGCATCTTAGCCTTGTTCCAGAGGGCCTGCTTTAATAGGAGTGGCAATGCAACCTCTTCTATTTCCTGACCCCTTAAATCCTTAGTTTCAGCTTGTGAGGATACACTCTTGGCCATAATAGGCAGAATCCATACTACATGAGGTCGAAAATGTCAATGGGAACATTCCCCCTCCTAAATTCTCCATGCAATCAGCACGGTATTCTCACACACTGTTGCATGAAGTGACATGAAGATCTACTGAGATCCAGGTCAAGCACATTTGATGTTAAGACATGAACTTGCTTTATGTCGGCAGGCCCTGCTAATACAGAGTCAGAAAGAGAAGTGTGGTGGTACCCTGCTTTCCCCAGAGTGGGTGGTCACAGCTGCTCACTGTTTGGAGTACACTCATCCTAAACAGCTTCGAGTGAGACTGGGTATGTACTTCCCCTCCTTCTGTTAGCGAGCCATGGTTGTGGTGGCAGCTTCTCATCCTGGCAAAGCAGAGTAAAAGACAAAATATTCAAGCCTTGGTAGTGTAAGGGAATTGTCCTTAAGAGGTGTCAGACTAAAAACCCCCAATCCCCTCAAATCTCTGAAGAATCAAGGAACTGCTTGACATGACCTGCAAATAACTTTTCCAGGTGAATACTCAACAAATGTTGATGAGAAAACTGAGCAAGAAAGTGGAGTTGCCAAGATAATCATTCATGAAGAATACGTGAATGGACAAGTTAATAATGATATTGCCCTCCTGCGGCTGGAAACACCTGTGAATCTCACTGACTATGTGGTACCAATATGTTTGCCTGAAAAACGGTTTGCGGTGTATGAACTGTCCACCAAGAAGTTCTCCACTGTGAGTGGATGGGGACGCCTACTAGACAGAGGTGCCACTTCATCTGTTTTGATGAGAGTTGATTTGCCACGTGTAAAGACACAAGAATGTGAAAAGGAGACAGATTTAAATATTACAGAGAATATGTTCTGTGCAGGAGACCTGGATGGCTCTAAGGACTCCTGCAAGGGAGACAGTGGTGGTCCTCATGCTACAAAGTACAAGAACACTTGGTTTCTGACTGGGATTGTTAGCTGGGGAAAGGGCTGTGCTGTTGAAGGCAGCTATGGGGTTTACACAAGGGTATCCAGATACATCGAATGGTTAAAGAAGCGCATGGATTAATGATGCTGAAATAGAGAATTTTGAGACCAGGGTATTGCTGCCCAGTCTCTCTTTGCCATTTTCCTACTGAAACATTCCTTAATCATCATATGTGATACATGTGATACCCACACTGCTATTAATGATTTGAAATGAGCCTAATGCCTACTTGAATAATAATAACAACTTCCCTGTTGGTATCATTTATAAACTTGTGTGTCTTGTCAAGCAGCACAGAATGGCCATAGCAGATCAGACTCAAAGTTCCTCTTGCTCTGCATCCATTTCTGCTGAGGGACAGAGGAGGTGCTGAGAGAAAGACTGTCAGTAACACATCAAGCACACCATGATCCCACCTCCAGCTACCCTCTCAGTTTCTGGTAATCAGTGATGTACAGACTTCCTGAGCTAGAAGTTGCATTAGGTTGAATAGTCATGAATGAAGCTGCTGTCCACAAATGTGTGCAATCTCTTCTGAACACATTTCTGCTTCTGGCTTTCACAACTTCCTGTGCTGATGGGTCCTGTACATTACATGTAATGTGATGATGCAATAGCAGAAGAAACAGGAAAAAAGTGTTTCTTTTAGCTTACATTAAAGTAGCTTCCTCCACAGTTGCAGTGGCAACAGGTGTATTTGAGGTAGAGGAACTGTAGAGTCTCCAGAACAAGAAAGCTGGGAAAAGGTTAATTTCACATTTACAGGTCTGCTACAAAAATTTGGTTTTAGTTTTCTTGCACCAAGTATTATTGCAGCAAGGCTATTAAGTGTAATATTTAATCCTGTATTTATGAGTGGTAAAGAATACCACTAATTTAATCTTAACTTTGCCTTGATGTCAAGGTCATTGATACAGAAGAGGACTAACAAAAAGAAATGTTTGTTTCATTTGTTGTCCAGTATAATCCAATGTGTAACCTCTATCCTGAGATCCAAAACCAGAACTGGATAATTGCCTCACCCTCTGCAAAACACTGGCCAAAGACCATTCTCTAAAGCCTTAAGGGAAAAACGTCAGAACCTGAAGCACTATGAAAACACCATGAACTATACCACTGAAAAATGTACGTTCTAATATAAGCATAAAAACAGAGAAAAGGGAGATTAAACTGACCAGGAGATTAGAAAACAGTTTGTTTTACACAAAGCTTACACTTTAAATTCATTCACATCATGATTAATATCATCCACAACATGCTGAATCACAAAAGCTTATAAACAAGTAGGACACTTAGAACTGACCATACTCTATTATTAGGGGAAAACATTGACATTATAAGGTACATACACCATGTAATACTGAAGATGCTATAACCTGCTTTACTGACATAGAAGAATAGTATACTTTTCATTTAAATAGAGAACTGAATTAGAAAAAGCAGCAAATTTCAGGGGCCTCAGAGACAAGAGGTCTTACAGTGTAAAAACATATCCCAGAGGTTCTCATTACTCCTAAGAGGAAAGCATATATGCAGCAGAATATATTTCCAGGGTGGAAGGTGACTAGTAGTGAACAGCAAATAAAGCCTCATTTTCACCAAGGCAGGGGACTCAGCATTGCAAAACCATCTCTCCAGACCCCCTGAGCTAGAACAGTTTGGGATACTCCATACTCCATAGGATGATTTCTTGTCTGTCACTTTCCAGTGTAAATACTGACATTTATGAACAGATCATCATCTTGCAGAACAAGGGTACAATGCTGAAAGAAAACAACCAGTGCTAATGGCTGCACAGAATGACTGTTTCAAAACAAAGCTGGGGTTTGGGCATGTTTTCAATGTAACAGCCTGTTTAAGCAAGACAAGAAGATGAAGGAGATCTAATGGCAGGCTCTGGAAACGCCAGACATGCACAGAGAGATCACCAGGCACAACTGAGGGGAAACCCCCAAGAAGTCGGAGATGCCGGGAGCTCCCAGATCCCGGGGAGCACCAGGCCAAGCTCACCGGGCCCTCGGTATGGAAGGCGCAGTGCCAGCAGATTATGGGGGAGCTGCCGAGGGTGGCGGGTGTTTTGGAGTGAGAGCCCGGCTTTGCCCTTGCTCAGCCCGGCTCTGAGTCCCACCCCTGCATCAGCCGGTGCTTGCTTATTAACGTGAGGGTTCACTTCCCATCTCCCGCAAATAAGAGGTACAATTAAAGAAGCCTGCTGCCTTTTCTTATAAAAGAAAATCATTAAATAAATAGAAAGAAAGTCTCACCACGAGCCCCCCCACCCCGGCTGACAAATCCCGCGGCGGCTTTTCCCCCTTCCCCAGCGCTTCCGCTATTTCAGGGCAGGGTGAAGCAACGCCGCTTCACTCTCTCCCCGCCTGGGGGGGGTGAAGGCTTCAGCTCTCGTCCCGTCCCGTCCTGTCCGTGCCGTCCCGTCCCGCTGCAGCGCGGGGTCTCCGCGCCACCATGGCCGGTCGCCTACTGCTCCTCCTGCTGTGCGCGGTGCAGACGGGCGAGCTCCGTGCTGAAGGAGGCGGTAAGGACGCGCCTCTTTCATTTTGGGGTGTGGGGGGATGTCCCCTTCCCCACAGCCTGTGGGGGGCTGCGGGGAGATGGCGGGGGGGAGGACAGGACGAGACGCTGCTCCCGGGTCTCGCACCCGCGGTGCGGGAGGGGGAAGCTCTCCCTTCCCCGACGAGCCGGCTCCTCTTCAGCGCTGGGAGCTCTGTTTCCAAAACGGCTCAGGGCTTATTTGCACCTGTACTGCCCTCCGCACCCCGACAGAGAACGCGGGCAGGGAGCTGCCAGGAGCACCTCGGGGTGCTTGAGCCCCCGGGGTGCAGTGTCCCGTCCCAGGGTCCCTGTCTGCTGCACCTTCCCGGTTCTCCCTTATAAAATGGGTTTGCTGGCCCTCCACACCATTCGCATCGCCCTGTGTCAGCAATGTGTTCAGCAGGACTAGGTAAGTGATTATCCCCCTGTACTGGGCACTGGTGAGGCTGCACCTCGAATCCTGTGTTCAGCTATGGGTCACTCACTTCAAGGGGCTGGAGGCGGTCCAAAGAAGGGCAACAAAGCTGGTGAAGGGTATAGAGTGCAAGTCTGATGAGGAATGGCTGAAGGAACTGGGGTGTTTAGTCTGGAGAAGAGAAGGCTCAAGGGGGGACCTTACCTCTCTCTACAGCTACTTGAAAGGAGGATGGAGCAAGTAGGTGGCCAGTCTCTTCTCCCAAATAACAAGTGCTAAGACAAGAGGTAATGGCCTCAAGTTGCAGCAGGGGAAGTTTAGACTGGATATTAGAAAAATTTCTTCACGCAGAGGGTGCTCAGACATTGGATCAGGCTGCCCAGGGAAGTGGTGGAATCACCATTCCTGGAAGTGTTAAAAAGCCGTATAGATGAGGCCCTCAGTGACATGGTTTAGTGGTGGACTTGGCAGTCTTGGGGTAGTAGTTTGACTTGATCTTAAAGGTCTTTTCCAGCCTAGCTGATTCTGTGACTGTGTGGGAACGCAGCTGCCCTCGCAGCCTGAGGTGGTTCTATCTGTGAGGGCAAGCCTGGCCAAGGCTTGGTTGGGCCTGAGGCACAGGGGGAGCACATCTCACCACCTTCTTTGTCCATAGGGTCAACACCGAAGTACAAAGTAGCATCAGTAAATGGCTTTTCAAAAGTTGTTTACTCTCCTTCAGTGAGTCAGCCTGCTGAGGCTTTATAAATGAGGGCTTCCACATGTTTCTGGAATGTCCTACTTCAGTTGACCAATGCCTGTTGCTCCTTGAGGTCTTCGAAGAAGAAAGCAGGACAGAAAGCGTGGGAAAGAGAACGGCCAGCCTCAGAAGACTAATGGGCTAGTTCAAGTTTACAAAAACATCCGCTTAACACGGGTGATGTGGAGGCAAAGAAATAGAGGTGATAACCCCAACGGCTGCGTCCTGTCTCTTTGCTGTCACTGCAGAGAGGGGGTTAAGGGCAAATAAGATAGTGGGTGAATGAACTAACAGTTACTGTGCTACAAGTTACAAGCACTTTCTGTAAGCCTTCCTTGCAAGGAGCCTTTTCAGAGTAAGTGCGGCTTCAAATTATACCTGCTCCACCAATTTCAGTGAAAGCAGGGTAAGTCCCCTCTGTGTTCACTTAGAGAATATTAGGGTGTATGATTGCTACCAGCAAGTTTATCGCTGAATTGAGCTGCATGAACAATGCTCCAGAAGGTATGTGAAATCTGTCCATTGGCCTTGAATTCGGTTCCATCTGCAGCACTGCCTTCTACACTCCATTCTGTGATTAGAGAGTATATTTTCTCCTTAGATTCCAGGCGTTTAGAGCATAATTAAACACTAGCTTCCAAACTCTGCAAACTTACTATAATATATGCTTTTTACAGGGTAATTGGCAGTTTATTTACTCCAGTGTTATTTCTAGTTTTCCTGTCTGGTGAAGCGTGCATAAGTTGATAGAGAGTAACACTGTTACTCATGCAGCCAAGTGTCTGAGCTGAGTTTACTGCCTCTAATCCTTTTGTTTATATCAACAACTACCTTCATCTTGAACTTGAAGGCAGCCGGTCTTAGGCTTCTGTGGCGCCAAGCTTTTAAGAAATAAACCAACCCAGCTAATTGACCTCAGGCTGTACTTTCCTGCTGAAGCTAATGTTCATTTACTTTTGCTCTTTGTTCAGTCTTAGAAGTCAGTTGCTTTAGCTGTACCTACATTCATAGCAGTAATGCAGGAACATTTGTATGGGTGACTGGAAGGTGTTAAGAAGAAAGAAAGGTCCCAGGGATCTACAGTGGGATTTGGGGTGATGAAGGGCAGTAGAACTCATTCATACACATGCTTTTCCCATGTGTTCCCATGTGTTCCCATTACTGCATCTTGAGTTTATGTAGCATTTAATTTCTGCATCACAAACCCTGGAGCAGGTGGAGGTCTTGCCTAGTGGACAGCTTTAAAACCAAATCAGGGAATGCAGATTGCCTGACCTTTAGGGAAGATCATTTTGTTCGAGACTGGAGTCTTGAGCAGGAGCAACAGAAATATAAGCCTTCAGCGTCAACCTGCATGTTCTTATTTTCAAGACTAGAACCAGTAGGAGATAATTTTGGGGGCCTACAGGTTGTCCTGTTGCTGATTCTCAGAGAGAGACTGCTCTGAGATCGTGAGACGTATCACTCTGTGTAAGGACTAGCCTCACAGATAATGTTGTGTACTGGTAGGGGGTGAAAGGGTCTGGTTTGGGTTTGTTTCTACTTCACTTAGTTCTAATGACTGTTTACCACTACCAGATGTTACCTGCCACCTATATCATTTTCTCTGTTGTTTAGTATTCATCAATAAAGAAAATGCCGACAAGTTCTTGGAAAGAACAAAACGTGCTAACTCCTTCTGGGAGGAATGGAAGAAAGGGAATATTGAAAGAGAATGTAATGAGGAGCGCTGCTCAAAAGAAGAAGCAAGAGAAGCGTTTGAAGACCAGGAGAAAACTGTAAGGATGAACTAATATAACACATAAGTCTATATATTTTGTCTTTTCAAAATAGTCATTAAGGTCATTTCAGCCTGGGCATCGAAACTCACAAGTTACTCCCAATCACTTAACACAAAGAATAAATAGTGTTTTGACTCTGGTTGGCATTGCTAAGGCATAAACATACTATAACAGTCTTAATTCAGTTCCTGCAAGGCCAGCCCATGTTAAAGCCTCCATTATTTTTCCTATTCTCATCTATTTAATTGCTGTTTGAGGTGTTTGACTTCTAAATGCTTTGATACTATCTGTGTTGGAAATACGTTCATCCTATCTGGTCAGTTCTTAGGTGGATAGTCCACAGGAAGGTTGAGAAGGCAGGTGCTGACGTGGAAACTTCATGGCAGAAGTTTGCTGAACTTACGTAGCTTTGCAATGCTTGTCATTTGGGGGCTCTCTTTTTAAGTATCTGAATTGACAGAATGCATGCTGTGGGCCATTCTTGCATGCCTTTCATGTTATATTGCCCATGTGGAATGAAGTTTGTACATGTGACTCTTGTGTAACCTGCCCTACCCTGGTTGACACTTAACTTTAGACAGAAATGCAATCTGTTCCCAAACTCAAGGGAGAGTTTTAAAGAGATGGGGAGCTATGGGGACGGGGGTCAGTAGAAAAGATGATATCTGAAAACTTGATGTGACTTGATGTGATGGTGGTGGAGGGGAATTGGGAACATCAGCTGTAGCTACACAGCTGTTTAAGAACAGCCCTGAAACTGAAGTTAAGGCCAGATTAATTTAATTTTAGCATTATTTAATAGCCAGGATGTTCTTGAAGTGACCCTGAAATGACCTGGGTGGGGAGTCATGGGTGCATCACCAGGGTACTTCAGAGCATAAAGGTTGGCTGATCCACAGCAGAACCAGCACAGCCTGTTCTGCTGGTGACCAGATGTCACTGAAAAGGACTGCCATAGACAGTCAGACAGCATACCTGGAGTCCTCAGTGCAGAGGAAAAGAAGAACACAAATCAGACAAATATTTTTAAATCTCAAGGTTTCTGAGGTCCTGATTGATGGGAGTATAGGGAGAGGATGGAGACTGAGAATTTGGCATTACAGGAATTAAAAGGACATTCAGTCAAAACTGGTGGAAAGATACAGATGCAAGAAATCAAGTGCCTTATGCTGTGTAAGACACACTGGGAAACCTCTAAGGATTTTCAGATATTTCTGAAAAATGCACAAGATTTATTTCTGGAGAGCTGGACACTACGGGTAGTTTTGAATTATTAAATGGTTATAGCAGTCTGCAAGGCGCTGTATGTGCCTGTAACTTAAATGTTTGTGTTAACAATGGTTAGCTGCAAATATCCTGTCTATGAAAGCTCTAATATTTTTCTGAAGAAATCAGTAATTCTCATCTAATTCTTTCTGTCTTCTTTTATTCTTTTCCCACACCTACTTACAGGAGGAATTCTGGAACATCTATGTAGGTAAGAAACGCCCTGCGTTTGTTTACAGAATTAAGCTTCCTTATTGCAAGATTGAAAAGAAGGCACCTCTGAAGTAACCACTTCCTGCTCCCTTGCTTCCTCTCTTTTCACCGTGGACACCCTCACTTTGTGTTTCCTCTGAAGAAGGAGTCAGATTTACTGCCTTGCTGTTGCTTGAACTCGGTAACTTTATTCAAAGGCAATGTTCAGCTGGCTCCAGTTGCTGGGATGATTTTTGTCCTCTCAAAAAAAAAAAAGAATAATGGCCCTTTGCATGCAAAGGACAGTGAGAAACCGAAGCCGGGCATGTGAGTCTGCTGGTCAATTGTCCTTCAGAGGACAACTGGATGCAAAGAGTCATAGATGAGGGTGGCACTTAACTTTGTGTTGGCTACAGCATTTATTAGACTATACTGAGCAGTTGCTTGCCAGTTTTGTGTCACCTTCCATGCCAGAGTCCTGTTGATTCCTGTATTACAGAGCATTTTGTGGGATGAGTTTTCTACAGAACTGGTTGGCATTCAAGGATGGCATGCCAGTAGACTAACAGATGCCACCCATCAGTCTTTTCTGTTTTGTTCTTTTTTTTTCCTAAGGTCTAAACCGCACTTGTTAAGGTTCTAGTATCCATAATCACTATGCAGGGACAGATTTCTAATGCATTAGTGTTTGGTAATGTTCTCCTGAAGATGCGTGCCCAGCTTGCATGTTAGGAAGAGTACCTCAAAAATGTTGACCAAAGACAGCTCAGCTTTGTCCTTTGGAGTGTGCAGAAAGTTGAAGATAGTTGTCACAAAGAAGGTGCAGGCTTTCACAATCCTCTAAGCAGGCATGAACTCTGCAACCTACAGGCTGAAATTTCAAGCAGAGCCTATGTCAATGTTGCAGCGAACAGGAGTGGAAAATTTCAAACCATTTTCTCATGAGAATACAAGCAGTGGAACATCAGTGCCAGTGCTCTTAGCGGAAATGCCAATTTCATACATTTTAAACCACAATCCATGAGTGATTTATTGGTGTTCAGAAGTATTGAAAACCACAGCTACCCTCAGCCAAGATACTAAAACAACTCTTGCTTCCTTTTTTTAGGATAGGATTCTGCAATGCTTTTGTGCAATATTGATAGAAAACTCATTACCACAGCAGCAGCTACACTGTAGGGGCAAGCTAAACAAGTATGGTTTCCAACAGTAGGACGCTGCTTAGCTTAGACCACTACAGAATGAAGTGCTCTGGCACTGCAGAGGAGGCAGAAACCAGGAGCTGTGCTGTAGGCCTCAAGTCTGTCTTTCTTTTGCTGAATGGTAATCTCGGCTTCCCTCTTGAGGATAGAGATCAGTCTTCAACACCTCTGTGGTGGACTGCACAGACGCAGCATTTGAGTGTTGTTGGTTTTGGCCACGTGCAGGTACAGAAGGGATGTTGAAGTGTGAGGACAGTACACAAAGCCCAGCAGATGTTCCCTGTGGCAGATAAGCTTCAGCAGATGAGGTGACAAGGCCAGTGCCACTGTGCATGCTGGATGCTTAGTATGAGCAGCTTCTTGCATGTTGTTTCTCTGTGGGCATTGCTGTTCTTCCAGCAACTACAAACAGCAGCAGAAAAGATGGTAAAATACAGAAATTTGAAAAGCATGTCATCTAAAGCAATGAATAAGTAAGCCAGTGTCACTTCTCTGGGTGTTCTGCTTTTCCTACTAAACAGTGCAGAAGAGCCCAGCAGGGTTCCCCCATGTGATGGGAGAACACATTTGTTACACTAGATCACTGGATGGGAGAGACCATGGCAGTGAGCATCAGTGCGAAGATGAGATACCTTTGTGGGGGTGGGAGAAAGGGCTGCTACACGGAACATGTCTCCAAACACAATGTAGCCTCACCATCCCGTGTGTAGCTGAGTTTGTGAGATACGTGTGGCTGGAGCCCTGGAGCCAGGTCAGCCGGTTGTGTCCAGGTCACAGAAAGGAAGAAAGGTGCAGAACTACCTTTCAAATGTAGGAGATCCCAGCACAGATGTGGGAGTCTGAGGTAAGAGCTGATTTTTTTGGAGCTCAACCTCATACCTCAGTGGATACAATGGGAAAATGTTAGTAGTATGAGGCCAAAAGGTTAATATCTTTAGACAGTAATTGCAATGTAGAAATGTCCTGTCTGCCTTTACAGTCTTCACTGTAACTGATATATACTCTGGCTGTGATGGATTACTTTATCTTCCTACAAAAAAAGGCTTGTGTACCTGCTGTCATACAGTAGTCATAGAAAGCAGATTGCAAAACTGAGGATATGTGTATGAATCATTGCTGCTTTGGAATGATTGCATTCATAGTGTTTGTTCCATCTGGAGTGTGGCAATTCACAGGACATACGTTTTAAAAGGAAGGATGAAAGATTGCTTACTAACACCCCTTCAGAGTTCACTGAAAATGCTTACACTTTGACAATAATTTGGGTTTTGGTTTGCTTTTGTAGATGGGAACCAGTGCAGCTCAAGTCCTTGTCAGTATGGCGGACATTGTAAAGATGGAATTGGTTCCTACACTTGCTCATGCTTGGATGGTTATCAAGGGAAGAACTGTGAATTTGGTAGGTTTCTGTTATAGAGAACCTTGGCAGTGAATTTCCAAGGGAGCTGAAACATAGAGTTAACTGTTTCTTAACCAACATTATTTGCCTCTTGGTAAAATGCATAGAATAGGATGGCAGTGAACAGTGAGTTGGAGGACAGAACCAGAAATGCAAAACCCTGGTGACTCTGTAGCTGGATAGTGAATGGTCTGAAGTTATGCTTGCTCAAGAGAGAACCTTCTTAATTACGATAGTGCTTCTTCACGTGACCTTAAATCCCCAAAACATTATGATAAAACTATGCAGCATGGGATTCTAATAACTGATATCAAAGAGCCTTTATCACAAGCTCAGAAGTACAGCCTCCCTACTCAGATCACAGCAGTAAGAACAAAAGCAAGCAGATTTTAGTAGACAGTGCAGAGACTTTTTCAGGCTTGCAAGGAATACATTTCTGCATATAAATACTTCCTGAGTCTCACTTCTGTAGCATAGAGCTACAACCCTGATGATGTCACTAGAGGATGTATTAGTAGCCCAGAAGTAAGAGTGGAAGGTGTGGAACTAAAGCTCGGACACAGGACTGAGGGGAGTGATGAGGAGATTAGTTTTGTAAGGCAAAAGGGAGGACTCATGTGAGTATTTACCAGTATCTGGGCTTCTCTGTTAGTGTTTTATTCATTCTTCCACTGTCAGGTTGTCTCTTCTTTTTTGAGCTCACCATGACATGGCAGTCGAGCTCACTTGGACCTGCCAAGTAATTTTCATATGGTGGATGTGACTGCTTTGTCAGGCACAAGCTAATGTTACCCACTCATGAAGATGTGCTTCAAGTGTTATAGAGGTGGAGATAGAGGTCCTGTTTGAAGAGTGTGGATTAATTTGGTGAACTTTGAGATCTTCTGAGAAGTGAGTGGTTTACTTACATTTTTTTCTCCAAATGTCTCTTTTATAGTCATACCAAAATACTGCAAAATAAACAATGGTGACTGTGAGCAGTTCTGCAGCGTCAGAAAGAGTATACAGAAGGACGTTTTGTGTTCCTGTGCAAAAGGGTATGCTCTAGCAGAGGATGGCAAGCGCTGTGTTTCAACAGGTATGAAGTAATTAAATAAACAGCAATGGTGGTGAGTCTTGTTTCACAGTTAAAGAATGTCTTTTGAACCATCAGCCTCCTACATTACATAGATTTAACACTGAGGCCAACTGATTTGTATATCCAAAGACTTTCGTTTGTGAGGTGACGCAATGGACTTATCAAAATCTAGCTGATTTGGAATCCTTTGCAAGATACCTTACAGAGTTACCTGAGTAAACTCTGCTGTTGACAGAGGAGAAAAGTGATTGCAGTTATATCTCATTTACTTAAACACTTATATTCTATATAAAGAACAGCTTGCAAAATCTTTTCCACTTGAAATTTCAGTTAACATAGTCAAATAGTAGCTGATGACATAAAGTAATTGTGATTAATGCTATTTGTACGTTTCTGATATATTTCAACAAACCTGGGGAGGGGGGATAAGTCAACCACATACTCATGATGCTGGGTTTTTTTGTCCTTTATAACTAATAATAAATTTCTGTCATGTGCTATATTGTTTCTCCAATAAAATACCCCACTCAGTTTCTTAATTGATTGTTTCAGTAAAAGCAAGTACATGGATATAGCAATGTAAGCAATTGAAGATGAAGTTTTAAATGTCAAATACTTATTCTTTCATATTTCAGACCATCTGGTCTTCCTCCTTTGTTGCATCTGCCAGGGTTTTGCTAGTGTTTTGAAAACAGGCCAGCTGCATTACCTGGTTTACTGTGGGATGCTGCTGTCAAGGATTTTCTGCATGCGGTGGTGTTTCTGTCCACTTCTAATTTTAACATTCTTATCTTTACAGTAAAATATCCTTGTGGGAAAGTTTTTGTGAAAAGAAAAAAAAGGTCGGTTATTTTACCCACTGATAACACCAATGTAACAGGTGATGCAGATACGGTTCCCACATATGAAACAAGTTTGGAAGAGGACATTGTTACTACCACAGAAAGCCCAACCCCCCGTCCTGGCAATGAAACAAATAGCGATACTCAATATGTCAATACCAGGATAGTAGGTGGTTATGAATGTCGTCTTGGTGAATGTCCATGGCAGGTAAATGTGGTGTTTATGCTCTGCCCGTAAGCAGAAAGTGTTTCTGAGGGAAAATGTGCCACTGTTGATTTAACCCAGTTGCCTTCTGAATGGTACCCTTCTAATATGCTATTTATAGCTGGAGTTAGCATAATTACACGAACCTAGGCACTTCAGTGTGCTGTTCTGCAAACTGCAGCCTTGAAATGTCAAAATTAAAGGCTTTGTGCAATTGTAGATGGTGCTGCTTAATCTGTCACCAGAGGTGACAGCATTTTCGGTCAGTGTCTTGTTCCTAAAAGACATTACTAAGCACTGTGAGTGAGGTAACATGGCAGCCAAACATCTACTTTCCATGAAGACAGTCAAGACTCAGTAGCACATGCATGTGTGAATGCCGTATTTAGGAGAGGCCTACAGGGTAGTACATGCTGCAGTAATAAGCATATATGCAGTGTGCAGAGAAATCAATAATCTGGTTTTATAGCTCACTGACATTAAACTGCTCTTCTTAATGCTGCACTTACAGGCTGTTTTGTTAAATGAGGAAGGGGAAGAGTTTTGCGGTGGAACCATTTTGAATGAAAATTTCATACTTACTGCAGCTCATTGCATGAACCAATCTAAAGAAATCAAAGTTGTTGTTGGTAAGTGGTTATTTATTTTACTCCTGTGATGTTTGAGTATGTGTTGCATGCTTATCCTCTGTGCTCTAAATCTCATGTGAGATGTACTCTTATTACTTTATTTATTATGGTTTGTTACTTCTTTTCTGTTGTTTTGCTTTTTGGAATTTCTTGTTATTGTGGGAATCCCACTTTGTAACAACAGGGGCAGCTGATGTGGAAAATGATAATGGCGCCTCCCTTTCTTCCTTGCCAACTAGTTGGAAGTGATTAAGAATGAATGTTCTAGAAGTGTTGGCTAGCACTGTGTTCATGAGAGTAGTGCTTCTTCAGAAAGCGGATCATTCCTGACACTTCTGAAACATATAGATATGTTTGTTCAGGGAAAACTATGGCACACTGAATGCAGAAAGAAGAAACAAATTCAAATTATGACTGCTTCACTTTTGAGGCATGAGACTAGATCAACATAATTTTATCTTTGGGTTTAATCCTGACCCACACCAATTTCTCTTCTTTGAAGCAAGCCAGGCTCAAGCTCCTCTAAGAGCTTCCATCCAAAGTTGCATTAATAGAGCCAAATCCCTTTATGCCTTTATAATATGTGTATATCGTAGTATGTATTATATGTGTAAATGTAAACTGGTACAAAAATTTCCATAGACAAAAGCTCAGGACTTAAACTGGTCCAGATGCTGCTAAAAAGTATTGCAGTACATTTTTACAGTTTACTTGTATGGTATAAAGGCTTAGGTAGAGTGTTAGCAATGGGTATACTACTCTCTTCCTTTATCAAGGTTCTTAATTTCTTATGCTATCCCCATATTAATGACTCTTTTATTAATCTTGTACAGGTGAAGTGGACAGAGAAAAGAAAGAACAGTCTGAAACAATGCATACTGTGGACAAAATATTTGTTCACTCTAAATACGTTGTCGAGACTTACGACAATGACATAGCCTTAATAAAGCTGAAGGAACCTATAATGTTTTCCGAGTACATTATAGCAGCATGCATCCCAGAAGCAGACTTTGCTAATGAAGTTCTGATGAACCAGAAATCTGGGATGGTCAGTGGCTTTGGGCGTGAATTTGAAGGTGGACGACTCTCCAAAAAACTGAAAGCGCTCGAAGTCCCCTATGTTGATAGGAACACTTGCAAGCAATCCACTAACTTTGCAATAACAGAAAACATGTTCTGTGCTGGTTATGACACAGAGCAAAAAGATGCATGTCAAGGAGACAGTGGAGGCCCCCATGTAACCAGATATAAGGATACTTATTTTGTTACTGGAATTGTTAGCTGGGGAGAAGGATGTGCAAAGAAAGGCAAATATGGTGTCTATACCAAACTGTCCAGGTTCTTGCGCTGGGTAAAAATAGTCATGAGACAAAATTTGTAGTGGTACAGCTCTTGATCCTCTGTTAGATAACAAGGTGCACTTTCTATAATGGAAACTCTATTTGTATCTTTTAGCCACATCTACTAAACTTGTTTTGAGAGCTGATTCCTTAAAGTTTTGGTGCTGCTTCTTTTTGTTTTATTCCTGCTTTAAAGCATGCACATGTGGACTGCTGGTGTTGTTTGTACAATGAGGGGCTTTACCCCCAGAAAATGGCTGTTCAGTGTGGTCTTTCATTATTTTTATATTGACATTTTGGTTCCTGCCTGTTCACCTAAGTGCTTCCACCAGGGGCTTCTGAACATATTATGAACCTCCACTAATCATGGTGAAAGTGGGAAGGAGAGAACTTCAGTTAATCCTCATATTGCAGCCAGCTGGCTCAGCAGGGAGTTTGTAATTACTAGAGCTGTTTAGCTTTTGCCCCTGGATGTAGTAAGAAGATTAAGGGAGCATGGAAGCTTGCTTGGTAAAAGCTGAGACACAGGTAAGTATTCAACAGGTGATGCTAAATAACCACATGTTCCACAAAATTTCCTGCTTAGGTCACAGCAGCTGATTAAAAAAGGGGGGGATGGTGTGTGTGTGCGCTTTATATGGATTGTACTTCACTTTAATTTGAACACTTGTGTTCTACTCATCAGAAAAGAAAATGAGCGCATGGTCACTGTTTTCTGAATTGTGTGTGTGGCTGAGGATCAGAAAGCTCCTTGCATGTGTTTTAGGTGTTTCTGTAAGGTGCAATATTGAATGTACACCAGCATTTGAAATAAAGAATTCTTTCTTTTTTTTTGTTCTTTTAAAAATTATTTATTCCCTCCAGCCAGCTTACAAATGTATGAAGACAAAATCTCACTTCAGAGTGAAAAAGGAGTGAATGCCCCTAAGTGTGACAAGGCTGATGAGGAGGTAGAGAATGGAAGGGGGCCTAGAGGTTCCTAAGTGGCAAGTTAGATGCCAAGATGCTAATTTTCTAAGAAAGAGGCAAACTCAAAGAGTGATTTCCCACACATAGTTGAGCTACTGTGATCTGATCTGTGCAGTAGAACTCCAGGCAGAAGCTCTGCACTCTGATAGGGGTTTTTGTATGTGGAGTATTCCTTCATATATTCTTTAAACCTTCTCAGCTTCAGCCCTAGTTACAGAAATCCCCCAGCTCCTCTTGGCTGAACAAATCCAGACCCCTCAGCCTGTTCCTGTACATCATGTGCTGCGGGCCCCTGATGGCCTTTCCAAGGCTTCTCCAATCTGTTGTGATCTCCTCTTGTCCAAGCTACACTGATCTTCATCAGACACCTGTTACTTATCTCTTAGGGTTTGAGCTGGCACTGGCTAGTTTCATACAGCAGATGATGTGAGGGAACTAGGTTGACAAACTGGAAATACAGCTCTACACAGCAGCACAGTATTGCTGCAGTCAGCGGTAATTGTGAGCAGGAAGGACTGCAGGTCAGTTACCCCAGCTTGATGGTCTCCACCTGTATAAACCCTCAGCGGGCTTACTTCAATGTTTGTTCAGCAATGTTTGTTCCCTGAGTTCTTCTGACCACTGGATTGCTGTTTGAATCCCTTGTCCTACTGGTTGTTCGCTCTGTGTCCCACTAGGGTGAAGCATCCCTCTTTAAAGGGACAGCCTCAGGCCTAGACGCTACTCAAATCCTATTTATGTACTTGTGCTAAGGGCATTCTTCTACTTCAGTGAAACCTGTGAAAATGAAAATCAGGCTGGACTACAAGGTGTTGAGGTAGCTGAAAGGAGGACCTCCCCCTGGCAATGGTGACAGTAGCTGGGTTTTACTAGCTGATATGTGTATGCATTCTTGTTGAGCCAAGGTAGTGCCTTGAGGGCAGACACAGAGCTCGTGTAACAGACGAGCATGTGAGAGACTGATGAAGGCCCATGTTTGTGTGCAGCATGACTGTGCTCAGAGGAGAAGTGGTGTTATTCTGCAGAGTATGCAACACTTTGGGATTTGTCTTTTACAAGTGAAACTAGTTCTTAGAGAGCCTTTCATCCTGTGCCACAGTGTCGATAGTGCCTGATGCTCAAGGGCTTCATGTTCATTCCTCATTCTGTAATAGTGTCTTTGCCATGCTGGGAGGACATGAGTGAAGCATCTGCTTGCATCTTGGCCTCCTATCAAAGCCCGTAACTACCTCCAAGGCCTGCAAGACAAGAAAGTATTAAAGCTCACTTTTTAATGTAGCCTGATTATTTGGGGGTAATTTCACATAGCAAAATTTGAAGAGATTGTACAATCCAGGAAAGAGGTACAGCACACAGCTGTTGAGTAAACTAGTGGATTTTAAAATACCACAGACTCTCATGGCAGGTAAACACTGCTGATTTAGGCAAGAGCTGACATTTACCAAGGATGGTGGAAGGAGATGCTCTAAGTGCTCAGCCTTCAAGGAAAAGCCAGTCTTGATAAGAAAGGGAATAAAGGAAGGATGGTAAGTAAAGAGTGCAGTCACTTTCAGACTGTGAAAAGGACTGATGGGAAGAAGAAAAAGGTAGGACATTGCTGAGGCCTAGTCCAAGGTGACACATCTGGGCAAGAGACTCTTGTGCATGGGTTATTTGGCTTCAGAAAAATGAGGCTTCTTTAGACTAAAATAGAGGAAGCCTGAGGAGAAACATATCAATAGCAGATAGGAAGGGACTAATCAGATCTTCATGTCTGTGGTGAAGATAAACAGACAGAGCAGATCTCAACTGCAGTGGGAAAGTTTCACGGAACTTCCCAGGGAGAACCTTCCAACACTGACTAGAAAGGCCCTCTAATAGATTTTGTCCAGAGGGCAGAGAAGTTTCTGATGTTGGTAGTCTTTCAGAGTAGGAGAGGTAGGTGGCTGTTAAGTGTGCGGCACAATGGGGACTGACCCAGTGAACGAATGCAGAGAAGCTGGCCTTCATTACGGTACACAACCGAACAGCAAAAAAAACCACACTTCTGCAGGCACAGTGTCCAACTGGAAGCAGTTTCCCACAAGGGTCCTTTGCTGGAGCCTTGGCCAACATGCCAAGAGTAATGGAGATAAACTTGATCCCTTGTTGGCTATGTAAGCTGGGCTTGGTGATGCTGGAAGTCTTGCCAGCCCCTGTTTTTCGGCATTTTCAGGTGAGCAACACAAGCAAAGGGTCACTGTTATGGTCATTCATTTGTGACCTGTGCTAGCACAGTAATAACAAACAAGATTTTCCTTCCCTTCTACTGCTTGATTCACCGAACAGGTTTGTCTTCCATAGGCTTGGCCCCAGACCACAAGGCACTGTCAATATCTATCCCCATGGAGTTGTGTGAACAAAAAAACCCCAAACCCTCTATCCTGAATAAGGTAGAAATTGATGAATTAGTGCAAGTATGGCGTGGTCTGGTACTTCTGACAGAGGCTGGATGCTCTGTGTCTCAGAGGTCTCATCCAGCCTCCTGCATCTATACAGGATACCCACTTTCCAGCTCTGCTGGATTCAAAGTCTTTGCCTACAATCATGACAATTAATTTCACTCTAGCTAAAGAAGTTCAAACTACAGCGGATTGGAATCAGAGACCAAAACCTTGTGCAAGACCTTATTGGCCTAACCCAGAAAAACTTCTGAATTTTTTCTTTCTTTTTCTTGTTCTGATTAACTCTGAGCTTTCCTTGCTTCCTAAGGCACTACGAGAACTGGGAGGCAGGATCTTTGCAATATGCTTACTGAGCTCTGTCCCATGCTGACATTAAGACCAAGCTTTGCTTTGAGAGGTTTTGTTTTCTTATGAGTTACTGATCTTGGCACTCCAGTTTCTCATTTAGCAGCTACCCCAGAACCCTTGAAGAGAAACAGGTGGGAGACACACAGTCAGCTCAGAGGATGGCAATGGCAGGTCATTGCTGGACTTCCTGTTGTCTTTGTTTTTCTTCAGATGGTGCAGACAGGCAAAGCCTTTGATTTAACTTGGCTTTGCGATGCTTTGCCTAAACCACACAGGTAATTATTTGCTATTATTTGTGCTTTGTGGACAAGGATGACATGAGTGAAAACCCGGTAGCCTTGCTTTCTCACCTGTCTTGCTCCCATTGGTATGCTGCAGTGCAGTAATATCCAGGGCTTAGTCACTCGGAGAATACCATTCTGACCGAAATAATTGTGTCAATGTAAAATTTGGGGTCAATATGCAGGAGTTTCAAACTGACAACACAAATTATGTGCTGTTGTTCTTCATATCCTTGAGAGATGAGATAAATAATCCTTACTGACCATCCATAATCTGTTGGGTGACAAAATGAACCCCACAATGTTTAACAGTGCAGAGGAGAATGAGAGCCCTATACCATCACCCACTGTGTTTGTGTAAGTCACAACACAAACTTCACAACTCTAGCTGAGGAAGTGTCCCACCTTTTAGGTTGGACCCTGAGACACTTCTCTAAGGAATGTGTGAATCATACTGCAGACATGATGCATGCTTTGTTGTTTAATTTTGTTGTAAAATCATTTGGTGATTACAGAGGGCTTGTTGGAGACAACCGAACAAACACCTGAGCCATCCACATTACAAGAGTTGGGAGCTGGAGGAAGGTTTTGATATCCCAAGGGTGAGGTACTTATCCCAAGGGAAGGTACTCAGTGGGGCACGGGCTGCCCCAAGAGTCTTCAGAAGGTTTCAAGAAAATTTTTCTCATACAAACATGTAGAAAGCAATTTTGAGTATACTCATCTATGGTTTATTTTCATCAACAGACTAGAAGTGGCTGACAACACAGAGATAGAAGATTAATAAAGGTAAGTGTAGAATGACAGGTCATGAAGGTAGTGAAGAAAATGGACAAATGGATGTAATCATGGCATCTTTTAAAAGAGATAGACAGGCTACTTCTATAAAAGAAAAAACAACTAAACACAAAATCCCAAAGTGCTTAAGGCACATGTCCAAACTTGCCCAAGGCCAAGAAAGGACAGGAGGATTAATCAAAATCATGAGCTCCTTCATGACCTGACCTCCAGAAGGAAGTATAGAAAAACCTAGACCTGTATGACAGAATTGCAAGCATCCTGGCATAAAACCAGAAAAGCTAAGGAGTAAATGCAATAAGATAAACATGATGTGAAAATCAAGAGCTGATCTAAGTATATAGATATTGGAAGAGAGACAAAGAATGTTAATCTGTTTTTCATGGGGAACAGAGTAACAGGCTCTTTATTCCTTAAGGTACCAGATTACTTGTCCCCAGTGAGGGGGAAAGAAATAAGAAAAAGAAACTCATCAAACAACTCACATCAATCTCCTCCAAGGATAGGATAACAGGCTGGATAGCTGTGAAAGATGCAGTATGTGTCAGGTGTCTCCATTAATGGAGGCTTCTAATATTATTTTATGTAACTTTTGTTTTAACAGGAGGAGAAACTCTGGTCTGGATGAAACTACTGTAAGTTTGTTGCACAGCTGTTTGAGAAATGGTTCGAATGTTTTGAAAGATGACATGGAATAAAAGAAGGGCTCCACAAAGGCAAGACTGAGGACCTCTGGTACTTGGTATGCATGCAATGCAGAAGACAGTGTTTACTCACAGCATTTGTAGCTCATTCCAGACTGAAAGGACTACCTTAGGTCAAGATGAGAGTTCGACAACCTTGTGAAACTTGAACAGTGGTCCAACATAAACAGGAGGCAATTCAGTAAATACAAAACAAAATTTCACCCGTGGCCACACAACACACAACCAATGAAATTTGTAAAATACGTAATGAAAGCAAGACGTGTTCTCCGTTTTCACAAGGATGAACAGCTTGGACATGAAGTAAT